GAGACAAAAACACAGAGAACTGTTCTCTCACCGGCTGGTCCGAGCTCTGCCACGGTGGTCTCGGTGTTCCTCCGCACCACCACCGTGCCCATCGCCTTTTCCCCAGGTGGCTCTGCGGCAGAAAAGCGAATGGATCTCAACTCCCCGGTGATCAAAGAGACGTCCGTCCTGTCCGCGTCCTCGGGGTCCACATCTGGGAATGGAACGTGTGCTGATCCACCTGCAACATAAATCCCCAACTGTGAGACATTGAGCGCATTAAGAGACTGCAAACACTAAGGCCCCATTCACACCTAGGCGTATTGCAATATGCGCGACCGTCGCGCGATTCCAAAGGCTACTTGGCTGTATCCCAATGGAAAACGGCCTACAAAACGGCCCAAAGTAGTCCCGGGACCTTTTCAGGCGTGGGCCGTTTTGTAGGGCGTTAGGGACGGGCGGAAATACGGACAGGTGGGAACGATACCATTGACTACAATGCTATTTATTTTTTTGACCGTTTTGTAGAGCGTTCGTCGAGCGTAGAACGCGCTACAAAACGGTCAGGTGTGAACGAGGCCTAATTCCACCAATAGGATCACTGCACCCCCCGGAACCTGAACTACCAATGATCACTACCAACATATATCTGGTAAAATGCCAATCACACTATACTGCACTGTGCAGTGATGTCCTCCTAACATGATGCAGGCACTGGGATTGGAAGTGAGAGAGCACAGCGGGGTGATCTGCAGTGATAGTCCATAGCCCTGGCGGCAAACCTGGAGCTTACAATCTATTAGGATATAAGGGAGGATACAGAAGGTAGAAGAGCTTACACTCTTATTAGGATATAAGGGAGGATACAAAAGGGGGAGGAGCTTACAATCTATTTGTATATAAGGGACGATACAGAAGGGGGAGGAGCTTACAATCTATTAGGATATAAGGGAGGATACAAAAAGGTAGAAGAGCTTACACTCTATTAGTATATAAGGGAGGATACAGAAGGGGGAGGAGCTTACACTCTATTAGGATATAAGGGAGGATACAGGAGGCAGAAGAGCTTACAATCTATTAGGGTATAAGGGAGGATACAGAAGGGGGAGGAGCTTACACTCTATTAGGATATAAGGGAGGATACAGAAGGTAGAAGAGCTTACAATCTATTAGGGTATAAGGGAGGATACAGAAAGTAGAAGAGCTTACACTCTATTAGTATATAAGGGAGGGTACAGAAGGGGGAGGAGCTTACAATATTTTAGGTTATAAGGGAGGATACAGATGGGAGAAGAGCTTACAATCTATTAGGATATAAGGGAGGATACAGAAGGTAGAAGAGCTTACAATCTATTAGGATATAAGGGAGGATACAGAAGGGGAAGAGGCTTACATTTTTTTAGGTAAAAGGGGAGAATACAAAAGGTAGAAGAGCTTACACTCTATTAGGATATAAGGGAGGATACAGAAGGGGGAGGAGCTTAAAATATTTTAGGTTATAAGGGAGGATACAGGAGGCAGAAGAGCTTACAATCTATTAGGGTATAAGGGAGGATACAGAATGTAGAAGAGCTTACACTCTATTAGGGTATAAGGGAGGATACAGACTGTAGAAGAGCTTACACTCTATTAGTATATTAGGGAGGGTACAGAAGGGGGAGGAGCTTACAATATTTTAGGTTATAAGGGAGGATACAGAAGGTAGAAGAGCTTACAATATTTTAGGTTATAAGGGAGGATACAGAAGGGGGAGGAGCTTACAATCTATTAGGATATAAGGGAGGATACAGGAGGCAGAAGAGCTTACACTCCATTAGGGTATAAGGGAGGATACAGAAGGGAGAAGAGCTTACAATCTATCAGGGTATAAGGGAGGATACAGAAGGTAGAAGAGCTTACACTCTATTAGGGTATAAGGGAGGATACAGAAGGTAGAAGAGCTTACAATCTATTAGGATATAAAGGGAGGATACAGAAGGTAGAAGAGCTTACAATCTATTAGGATATAAGGGAGGATACAGATGGGAGAAGAGCTTACACTCTATTATATCTAACTGCAGTAAAAAAGACTGTAGAAGAGCTTACACTCTATTAGTATATTAGGGAGGGGACAGAAGGGGGAGGAGCTTACAATATTTTAGGTTATAAGGGAGGATACAGAAGGTAGAAGAGCTTACAATCTATTAGGATATAAGGGAGGATACAGATGGGAGAAGAGCTTACACTCTATTATATCTAACTGCAGTAAAAGGATAAACATTATAAAGAACCCCCAAACTACCACTGAATACCTGGAAGCAGCTCTCGGAATTCGGTGACACAGCAGCCGCCCCACTCCCGCGCCGGGTTACACGCCACCTCCATCTCATCCGGAGTCACGATGGGCCGGTAGAATTCGCTGGAGTCCAGCAAAGAGTTCTCGGCACAGGCCACCAGCACAAAGATGTCCACCTCTGGGAAGTTAGCGAGCTTAGCCGGGTTCAGCTTCCCCATGGACAGCATGTGACTCTTCTTCCCAGCTCGGTGGATGACGTCCTTCAGGTGGGCCAGAGCGGACAGATAGTCCGACACACCCAGAGTGCCCACCACAATCCCCACAACCTGGGCGTCCCGAGCCCTCTCTATCAGATAGAAGCGTTTCATCAGGGCGCGGTTGACGTTCAGTCCTTCCTTCCTGCCCTCCCCGGTCTCAGGGTTGAAGCTAAAGAAAGGGCACCCTGGCCAGGCCAGCAGGAGGTTGTTGAGGGTTGGACCTTCTCCCCCGACATAGAAGAAACTGTAGGCCTCTGGCCAGAGGGTCGGATCAGGAGAGAAACTCCGGCCAAACCTGCGGACCTCACTGGGAGAAGGAACATCGCTGACCCGGGAGAGCTTCGTAAAAACAACACCGGGGTAATTCTGACCCAGGCGGGCTTCCAATTCACCTGCAGAGAGGATCAACAATGTGCAGGAAATTAGGATACAGGAGGTAGAAGAGCTTACAATCTATTAGGGTATAAGGGAGGATACAGAAGGTAGAAGAGCTTACAATCTATTAGGATACAAGGGAGGGTACAGAAGGGGAGGAGCTTACAATCTATTAGGATACAAGGGAGGATACAGAAGGTAGAAGAGCTTACAATCTATTAGGATACAAGGGAGGGTACAGAAGGGGAGGAGCTTACAATCTATTAGGATACAAGGGAGGGTACAGAAGGTAGAAGAGCTTACACTCTATTAGGATATAAGGGAGGATACAGAAGGTAGAAGAGCTTACACTCTATTAGGATATAAGGGAGGATACAGAAGGGGAGGAGCTTACAATCTATTAGGGTATAAGGGAGGATACAGAAGGTTGAAGAGCTTACACTCTATTAGGATATAAGGGGGGATACAGAAGGTAGAAGAGCTTACAATCTATTAGGATATAAGGGAGGATACAGAAGGGGGAGGAGCTTACACTCTATTAGGATATAAGGGAGGATACAGAAGGTAGAAGAGCTTACAATCTATAAGGCTTTCCGCACAGCACTGAGTTCGGAATATTTACCTAGAGCATGTTGGTACAGCACATCACTGAAGACCACCACGGGAGTTTTGCAGTCGGGGAACAAGTTCTGAAAACTTTCTACACACAGATTTACATTCAGCGCTTTCTGGCCAAAAACATACATGACGGGCAGCCGGTTGCTCGGGCTCAGACACGCTCGGCCATAATGGATCAGGATGTCAGCGCCAACGTGTTCCGCCGCCACCTCATCCACACAGCAACTGCCGAGAGCAACAGACAGGAATACAGGTGATTGCTGAACATTATCAAGACGTGTAAGACACACACATGACCTGCACAGGGTAT